CGTGCACTCACACACGGTGGTGTAGAGGGCACTCACACACGGTGGTGCAGTGTGCACTCACACACGGTGGTGTGCACTCACACACGGTGGTGCAGTGTGCACTCACACATGGTAGTGTGCACTCACACACGGTGGTGTGCACTCACACACGGTGGTGCAGCGTGCACTCACACACGGTGGTGCAGCATACACTCACACATGGTAGTGTGCACTCACACACGGTGGTGTGCACTCACACGGTGGTGTAGCATGCACTCACACACGGTGGTGCAGCATGTACTCACACATGGTGGTGCAGCATGCCTCAGCTCCTTCACATTTTCACCAACATATGGCACTGTTAGTTCTTTTTGTTTTAGCCATCCTGGTAGGGGTGCAGTGGCTTCTTACTAAGGCTTTTGTCTGCATGTAATGCAGGCAAGCAAGAAAGCTATTGGCGTGTAGGTGTACATTTGTGGGTGTGCCTGTGTGCTGCTGGGCTGTCTCCGGAGCCCTCGGGCGGTCCTCCTCACTTGTTCCCCATTAGCTCTGGGCTGAGACCACTGAGCTACACTTGAGAACTCTTTCTTCATAGGCTCCCTGACTGCTCTGCTAGCTTCCAGCAATCTCTGTCTTCCAGCTGGTATTATTCTGAGGATGGTGTGAAGGAGACAGGATCCCCTTGGATCCAGATCATGCAGCGTGTGTTCACAAGGCCGCTTTCCCTCCGCCCCATCCCAGAGATGGCTGTCAGTGAGCCTTGATCAGGGCTGGATCTGCCGGCCTCACACAGTCTGACATGGAATCACCAGAAGCTCTGGTCTGCCGACTCCACAGCCACGCCTCCTGCTTCCTTCTCTTTTCCTTAGCGTTTGTGTGTCTGTGGATATTTTAGGGTGCTCGATTTTTGTTATAATTGCATCAGCTCTCTAAACTGATCTGAAGACAGCGATGTGCCCGTGGTTATCGGGGGTCTTGCAGACACGGCACATCTCCCGTGTGTCTGGATTGGCAGTGTATTATGTGGGGAAGTGCTGTGTGTCTCTTTGTGGGCTCATTGCTCAGAATTCCATGTTCTTAATCCTGCGGCAGATGTTATTTCCCCTCCACAGCTTCAATTAGAGAACTCCTGGAGCTGACAAGTGCCCCAGACTCCACACCTTCTCGTGACTGACTCCAAGCTTTGCACCTCTGGAGGCTGTGATTGCTGGGCCTCCTTCAGAGCCTCATCCATCTCCACATACCCTGCTTAGTTAGTGAAAGGAGTTTGGGTTTACCTAAATGTCCATCTGCCCCGTGGAGCGGGAGGCAGGGGGACCAGCAGAGCAGGTGGACCTAGCAAGGCCATGCGATAGCTTTAAAGATGGTGAAATTTGGTATTTTAGGTTGTGGAAACAAATTCTCATGTTAAAATAGCTAGCACTGCAAGTCTGAGCACCTGTGTCCTTCCTGGGGACATCAGGAGAAGTAATTGAGAGTGAAGTACCAGAACAGGGAAAGAACCACACATAGCTAATCAGGTGACCCTGTCTCCAGCAGGCAAAGCCTGTCCTGGTCTGGGCTTTGAACCACGGTTCGTGGCAATCAAAACAAGGGCACTGACATCTTCTACACACTGGATATCTAGCAAGTGCCTTTTTATCTTTTCCTTCTGTATTACTAGAGTATGAAATCAGGGCTTCAAATCTTGGTAGAAAGGTGCTTAACCACTTGAGCCATGCTCCAGTTTTTTTTCCTCTGGTTGTTTTTGAGGTAGAGTCTTGCTTTCTTTTTCTCTGGAGATGGTCTGGATGGTAAGCCTCCTATTAACCCTCCTGGTCATAGCTGGACTGACAGGTGTACAACACCAAACAGCTTTTTTGGTTGAGATGGAGTCTCTCAAATGCCCCTTACATGTGTCTTCAGGCTGACCTGAATCTGTGGTCCTCTCACCATCCCAGGTAGCTAGGATTATAGGCATTAGCCATTGCACACGGTGTTTTACTTTTTTTGTGCAAAAATGTGTATGTGTCTACTAATCTTGCCTTCAGAGTCAGTCTTCTCAGACCAAGCTGGTGCACTCAGGGAGACTGTGAGGGAACGGGTAATTTCCTCCGTAAATAAACACCAGAGGCATAAAACACACACATAAATCCCAGAGCCTTGCTTGGGCTGGGACAGCAAGGGACTGGCTCTGGCCTTTCCAGGAGGCATCTGGCACAGGACGCTCATGGAAACGAAACAGAGGCCGTTTTCACGTGTTGGTGAAATAGTTTGCATCAACTAGAGGCAATGCCTGAGTTAATGGTATTTGGAAATACTTTACAATAAAGGCAAAGCTGCTTTATACTTCTAACATTTGGAGGGGAATAATGGAGCACTAAGGAACTAAGAGCAAGTTCTGACTTAGAGTCAAGCTCTCTGCATAGCTCGCCTCCCCAGACCCAGCACCAAGCCCATTCCCTCTGGGCTAAAAGGAGAAGACCGTGAGGCCTGCAGACTCCTGGGTCACACCATGCCTGTGCTGGCCATGTGGAGGAAGGAAAATGACCTCTTCTGGATTCTGACCCTACTTTGATCTATGACCAAAGGAGATGGTGTCAAAGGTGGTCTATTTTAGGTGCAAGCCTAACTATCTCGCAAGGTACTCGGTATCTGCGGTTTAAGACATGGGATACACACAGGCCGGCACTGTCCATAGAATCCTGAGTGCGTGAAGTCCAAGACAGAGTCATATCCCACCCAGAAGCTTCTAGATCATTGAGTGTGCACAGAAACTGTACAGTGCCCTGCTGTGGGTACAGCTGGACTGTGGACAGCTGCAAGACATATTTAAAGCTCCGTGATTTGGAAAGCTTGATGTCAGATCTTCTCAAGCCTGGAGGACAGCGTATGTATGTGAAGGTGAAGGAACCTAGCGTTCAATGCACTGAAAGGCTTTTCTGTTCTATTACCTGGTGGAAGCCCAGATAGTCCATGATTGTTGCCGAAGCGTAGAAGATCATCCCTTCTGCACTTACCACCAGCGCAAAGCCATTGAGAGACTAGGAAAAAACAAGAACACGAAGGTGAGTTACCTAAAATGCTAAAAGTGATGTTCTGTGTGAACTTGGAGCAGCCCGCCTGCGGCCACATCAAACACCCACCTCTAATTTATTCCTACTTCATAACAGGCCCATACCAGCAAGTCACAGAGGAAGGGGGTCATGGCTTCAAGGTTAAAAATTGTGCCGGGTGCCAGTGGCTCATGCCTGTCATCCTAGCTACTCAGGAGGCTGAGATCTGAGGATCTCAGTTCAAAGCCAGCCTGGGCAGGAAAGTCCGTGAGAATCTTATCTCCAATGAACTCTAATAAACCACCAGAAAACCGGAAGTGGTGCTGTGGCACAAGTGGTAGAGTGCTCGCTTGAGCTGAAGAGCTGAGGGACAGCGCCCAGGCCCAGAGTTCAAACTCTAATAATTATAAAATGTGTGTTTTTGCCAGGAGCTGGTGGCTCATACCAGTTACACTAGCTATTCAGTAGGCTGAGCTCTGAGGATCCTGGTTTGAAGTCAGCTGGAATAGGATAATCCATGAGACTCTTATCTCCAATTATCCACCAAAAAGCCAGAAGTGGGGTTGCGACTCCAATGGTAGAGCTCTTGCCTCGAACAAAAGAAGCTCAGGTCGTGCCCAGGTTCTGAGTTTAAAGTAGCGCACGGTGTACACATACGTACATGTACGCATTCCCAAACCTAGTTTTTTAATTGACAGAAACATTTGAATAAATTTTTAAAACTGATTTTACAGAGTAAGAGTTGTGCCGAGTACACACATGAAAATGTATCCTAGGTGACCACTGATAATCACCAGGAAATGGAAACTAAAACCACAGGAAAATGGTATTTCACACATGCCAACACAGGTTAAATCAAAGGCCAGATCGCCCAGGAGTGTGAATGTGGGAACGAACCACTCCACCAATATGAATCTGTCCTCAGTTCCCTGAAAACGTAAACAGAGACGTGACCATTGTTTCAGAGATGAAAATGGTGATTATTCTTCTTGATTGTGACCCATTGCGTGTGTGCATGTGTTTCATTATCACACTTCCACAAACATGCACAAATGTTATGTTAATAAAATCTCACACTTAGTATTTACCCAGGTAAGACAGGTATGGCACAAAAGTATATAAGCAAAGCACTCCCAACAGCTGTGTTCATAATAATCCAAATTCAGAAAATACCCACCAATTTAACAATTACACAATGAAACTATGTAAATTACAACAAAACTATTAATCAAATGAAAATGTGACTAAATATCCAAAATGTGTTAAGTAAAGGCAACTAGACAGAAAGAATATAAAGTACAAGAACATCTACAGTGACAAATGTCAGAAAGTGATTCCCTGAGGGTCACAGAGGGGAAGTAGGAAAAAGACTTCTATACAAACAAATTTACAACTTGAATAAAGTATTCTGAAATACAGCTTCTTAAGCCGGGCGCCGGCGGCTCACGCCTGTCATCCTAGCTACTCAGGAAGCTGAGATCTGAGGATCACAGTTCAAAGCCAGGCAGGGCTCGAGTGATAAGAGTGCTAACCTTGAGCACAAAAAAATCTCAAGGACAGCACTCAGGCCCTGAGTTTAAGCCCCAGGACGGGCACAAAATATAAATAAAAACTGAAATAATATTTTCACTGTGGAAAATGAAGTGTTTGGGGCCCAGAAGGTTCAGGAGGGTAGGAGGCATGGCTGATTCAGAGACAAACCAGAAATTCCACAACAGTTCTCAAGTGACTTTCCTCTGCAGGACCTTGGAAAGACCTGCACCCACTTCCTATCTGCTCTTGCGGTAACCTCCCCAAATGCCCTGGAGAAGAAAGCTGCAGGGTGAGGAGGACGCACAGGGGAATCTAGAGTTTATGGAGTCGTGCAGCTTCAGTGAAGAATCTCAGTACCAGCGGCAGCCCTAGAACCAAAAGAGGGGGGCCGTGTACAGCTTGTCGAACACTACAGCTGGCTCTTCACCCAGCCGCCGCTACCGCCTCCTCCTCCCCCTCCTCCTCCCTTCCTGCCCCTCCTCGTCCTCCCCCTCCTCCTCCTCACAGTCTGCCACTGTTGCCCAGGTTTGTAAAGGTGAAATGTGTCCTGTTTAACCTTTGGTCCACCAGAAAGTCCTAGAGCAACCAACCAGGTTTGTGTCTGGCACATTAACTCCTGCACAGTCCCACTGGTGAGCAAGGAATGAGAGTGCAGTGTCTACTTGGAACATCTCAGGGGCCATGTGCAAGTCTGCGCCCAGGCTCCTACCTCACGAGGCTCTGTTCCCAACAAGCCCCAGTTCTGGGAAGGAAGGGGGGACCGTGGGACTTTCACGATTGTGTGCTGATATCATTGAACAAAAGGCCAAACTCGTCACCTGTGCTGACCCACAGAGGAAACGGCTCTCTTCCTGACAGTGCCAAAGCAATGCTAGACTAGGAGCAGCGGCCTGGGAGTGTGGGGAGCCTGTCCCCCGGCATCCACCGCCGTGACGCCTGCTCCACAGTGAGCTTGGAAGGTAACTTCCCCCCACCACGGCCAACACGGTGGAGACCTCGTGCCTAAGAGTGAAAGGCTTTCTCCCCCCACCTCCGCCGTCGGGGGGGGTTTGTTCTTGGAGGGCTTCTCTAGCGCTCCTTGGTGAAACTTGTAACCAGGCTGCAGTCAGGCCCCTGGGGACTCATGTTTCTCCCACACATTGTACCAAGACAGAGCGTCTTCCAATGACAGCTTACTTTTAAATTACTTTTTAATTAAACTGGGCGCTGGCGGCTCACGCCTGTCATCCTAGCTACTCAGGGGGCTGAGATCTGAGGATCCCGGTTCAAAGCCAGCCTGGGCAGGAAAGCCCAGCTGAGCCCGTGAGACTCTGATCTCCAATGAACCACCAGAAAACCGGAAGTGGCACCGTGGCTCAAGTGGTAGAGCGCTCGCCTTGAGCCCAAGAGCTGAGGGGCAGCACCCAGGCCCAGAGTTCAAGCCCCATGGCCGACAAAAAAAAAAAAAGTTTTAGAAGTTGTGACAAAATATCAAAGACATAATCTTCCTCCTTTTGAGTACACAGGCCAGCAGCCATCACCAAGGTCTCTAGAACCCTTCACTTCCCCATTTAACACCAAGGCTGCTGATGCCCTTCCCCACCACACTTCCATTCAACCTCTGCCTCTGTTAGTCTGACTCCTCCTGGACCTGCTAATGGTCTGCATGGCCTTCCCCCTGTAACTGGCATAATGCCTCCAGGGGTTCTCCATACTGCAGCACGCGTGAGACTTTCTTTCCGTTTGTTCCCTCCATCCCTCACTTCCGGCAGCCAGCATCTTACTTTCCACTTCCGCAAGTCCCACTTTTCAGATTCCACATGTAAATGAGATCCTGCAGTGATTTTATTTTGGTCTTGCTTGTTTACTATAGTCCCAACTATGATGTTACAATGGCAGGACTTCCTGTCACGATTGTAGTCCCTTGTACGTAAGTACATCTTAAACACCTTCATCGGGTAAGGAACACTTGGGCGGATCGCGTTTGGCTGCAGGTTCTGAGTGCAGAGTACGGACTTCATGTCCTTTGAGGGGTGGAATTACAGTAGTGAGGTTGGTGGATCATGTTGAGTTCTGTCTTAGTCTTTGGAAGAACCTCCATAGGGTTTTCCACAACGGCTGTATCAGTTCTCCACTCTTCTTTGTGATAGCAGCATTCTTCCTAGGCTGAGACGCTGTGGTCTGGGTGTATACTTCTCCGATGAACAGTGATTTGAGCATGTCTTTATATACCTCATGGCCACTTCATATTTTCTGACACCATCTCTCCAGGTCCTTGCTCATTTTTAACCAGGCATTTGTTTTCTTGCTACTGAGTCTCTTGTTGACTCCTCCTCAGATGCATGGTTTGCAAGTGTTTCTTTCTACTCTGCAGACTGCCTCTCCACTTCTGACTGATCACGCTGTGAAGAAGGTTTTTAGGTTGATAATGCCCTATTGGGCTATTTTGCGTCCCCTCACCCAGTGCTGAGCTTGAATTCAGGGCTGAGCACTGTCTCTGAGCCTTTGTGCACAAGGCTAGCACTCTAAAGCTTGAGCCATAGCTCCACTTCTAGCTTTCAGTGGTTAAAAGAGTTTCATAGACTCTTACCCTGCTTAGGCTGGCTTTGAACCGTGAGCTTCAGATCTCAGTCTCCTCGGTAGATAAGATTCCAGGTGTGAGCCACTGACAAGCAACTATTTTGCCTTTTTATTTGTTTACCAATTAATAAATAGTAAATGTGGTATCCCTCGGGGTTAAGGAATGCTGTATGGGGGTGAGAGCAAGCAGGGGAAGCTTCCGGAAGCAAGAGCTGTGAAGGAAGGTACTTAGCTCTTCTCAAGATTCAGAATCTTGCTGTGAGGCTTGGCTGTCACTTGGCCCTCAAAACTTTTATGAAAAGAAGCCAGCATCCAGCACTGTCAACCTGCACTGAACGGCTGCTCTCCTTACACCGACTTCCAGGACTTCCCCGTGGGAAATCCTGGAGTGCTTATCTTGCCAGCATTTGATCCAGTGAAGAATATCCACACGGGTGGCAGCAGCCGGCATTTTCAACCCTGTGCTCAGCATTACCAGGTGATGAGTCCTGGGTTAGTTTGTGATAGGAGAACATGGGGACACTGGCTCCTGTGGTTAACAGGTGCACGGTCAGGAAAGCCTGTCTGTCCAGCACCCATGGGGACCAGTGATGAGCCCACCATTCGCCACGGTCAGGAGCTAGTGCCTCTGTCCCAGAATGAGGGGGTTCCAAACCACCAAAGCACCTCCACGATCTGCCCCTGGCTGCTGTCCATGCCACTCCGGGGCCCTGAGCCTCTGCCCCTGGGGCCTGGTACCCAGGCAGGGACCGGCATGAGGCGGGAGAGTCAGAACACAAGACCTCACTCTGACGCAGAGTCCCGCGGCATGTCCCACAGCCGGCCACAGAACCAGGACACATGGGAGAGTCTGCAGAGTCCGGTGCATTCCACGGGGGCAGGGTGGTGCACAGGGG